GGTGCGCCGGGTTGCAGGGGCGGGGCTGGGAGCAGGCCACCCTGCCCAGCTGGGTGCCCTGGGCAGCGGGCCCCCATGCCCAGCCGGGCACCCTGGGGAGCTGGGAGCGGGCCCCCCTGCCCAGCCGGGCACTGGTCCAGAAGCAGGGAGCCCTGGGGAGCCGCAGCTCTGGGCGAGCAGCAGTCACAGCCTGGACTGCTGTGAAACGGGTGCGGGAGGTGCCAGGGCAGTCCCTCGATCCAGATTTGGGTCATCTGCAGCCTTTTCCCGAAATCACCATATTGCTCCTACCCAGCGGTATGATCAAGGTTTTATTCCGAACTGCACAAGTTACAATTGTACTGCTTTTCTATTTTTTAATGTTAGTTGATGTTCCCACGAGTCCAAGAACTGGCATTCAAGGGCCTGGTGCATGATTGCTCCACTTAAGACCACCTCTACTTTGCTTTCTCCAAGCTCAGGGCTTTATGCTGCCTTCTTTTTTTGCCAAGTGCACATGGGTGCACAGGAGAACTAAAGTCATGTAACAAGGGGAATCATGTCAGCTAAACGAGCACCACTGTTTAATGAGCTCTGTTTCACTTTCCTGCTTTCTCATCTTTCTTAGAATGTGTATTCCCCTAAAGACTTGAAAACAACAGGCTTTGTGTAACAACAGTGTGTTATTAACTGCCCTTCTGATGGGGCTTTTAACTCTTACTAGCATTTTATTATTAATGGGTTTCCATGAAATCTATAGGACCATTGGTAAGCAAATGTTTGATGAGTACATCTGTTTGTCTCATGTCAGTTGGTAAAAACAAAGCAAACTCATGCTTCTTCCCTCTTTTTTGTTGTAGCAAACCTTCCCCAGTGATGTCCACTCCATTGAAGAAATTTTGAAGGTAAGTGCTCTATTTAAGAGCTACTATTTAAATAGATCTCTGTGTTTGTTTATATTTTGTATGTATTAAAGTAGTGTGTGGGGAAAAAATATTGCTCTGCTTCTGTCAGCAAAAGTTACAATCACTAAAAGTGTGTTTTGGGGTACGCTGTGGAGAAGTAAAGATAAAAGTTGGCCTTGGATATGGCTGAAGTTGTAAGACTGGTCATTCAATCAGTATGAAAGTGTAATACAGTCTGGTGCTGTCCAAGAGCAAGACTAACAAGTCATCTGAAACAACCAGAGCTGCTCATTCAACAAGTATGGGAGTTGCCGTTACCGAGCACACTTCCTCCAAAGGCGCTGGACGTGCTGCCTCTTGTCCATGCTGCCAGCCCCAGAAGCGTGGCCCTGAACGTGAGCATGAATCTGTGTTCTTCCACCCGCCTGCACATGGCACTGCTGCTGGGCTGCTTCTCCTTCACTGTAATTCTAATCCATTTTTGCAATGCTAAGCCAACTCTTATGCAAAACTGTCTCTGTAACCGTGTGTGAGAGCTGGCTGTGTGAGCAGAGCACAGGCTCCCAGTAGCTGGGTCTGAGTATGTGCCACCCGTTCACTGTGCATGGTTTGAAAATGCACTGGGATCTGCAAGCAGGTCATGCTTATACTAAGAAGATGGTTCCCTGATGTCAGATACTGTTCTGAGACACTGAAGTCCTAATGGAGGTGTTTGATTTCTGTGATTCACTTCCCTCCCTGTTGCTTCAGGTTGCAAAATCCTAATGCCTTTATTGCTCTCAAGAAGCTGTTGTGTTGGGGCAGCATTTTAGCTGAAAAGTGGTTGTGCACAGGTGCTCACTAGCTGCTGTGTGCTGGTTGGTGTTGCAGCATGAGTAGTGACCATGAAACGGTGGAGTTCAGGATCCTGAGTGGAGGAAGCAGGGCAATAAGTAGGGTCACAGCCTTGGACTTCAGAAGAGCTAACTTTGGCCTCTTCAAGGACCTACTTGGAGGAATCCCATGGGTCAGGGCTCTAGGAGGTAGGGGGGTCCAAGAGAGCTGGTCGTTGTTTAAACATCACTTCCTCCATGCTCAGGAGCGGTGCATGCCCCTGAGCAAGATATCAAGCAAAGGAGGCAGGAGACCCACGTGGATGAGCAAGGAGCTTCTAGCGGAGCTCAGGTGAAAGAGAAAGGTCCATGGAGTGTGGAAAGAGGGACAGGCCACTTGGGAGGAATACAGGAACGTTGTAAGAGCATGCAGGGAAGCAACAAGGAAGGCTAAGGTCCACCTGGAATTAAATCTGGCAAGAGATGGCAAAACAACAAGAAGGGCTTCTTCAAGTACATCAGCAGCAAACGGAAGACTAGGGACAATGCGGGGCTGCTGCTGAATGAGGCGGGTGTCCTAGTGACGGAGGATGCAGAGAAGGCAGAGTTACTGAATGCCTTCTTTGCTTCATTCTTTACTGATAAGGCTGACCCTCAAGCATTCCAGGCCCTGGAGGTAAGAGAGGAAGTCTGGCGAAAGGATGACCTTCCCTTGGTCGAGGAGGACTGTGTGAGAGATCATGTAAGCAATCTGGACGCCCACAAATCCATGGGCCCCGATGAAATGCACCCACGAGTGCTGAGGGAGCTGGCAGATGTCATTGCTGAGCCACTCTCCATCATCTTTGAAAGGTCCTGGAGGGCAGGAGAGGTGCCAGAGGACTGGAAAAAAGCCATTGTCACTGCAATCTTCAAAAAAGGCAAGAAGGAGGACCCAGGGAACTA